TAATTATTACATTATTTTTCTAATTTTATCTTCTACATATATGATTGGTTTCTTAAAATATTTTATCTATTTTTATCATGTGTGATTGATTTAAAATTTTTTATACAATATATATATCCGTATATTAATATTTAAGCATGTAAAAATGTATTAAATAAATAGTCATTTAAATAATAATATATATTAATAATAATAATCAATATTAAATATGACCTCCATCAAATTAAAAATTATATAATATAAATTAATTAAAGATTAATTGTGGCAAATCGTGTTCAATTTGTATGAAATTCAAATATATATATAGTTTAATTATCGTAATTATTATGAAATGCATATGTATGTATTTATGTATTTTTCAATTTTTTAAAAATGTTAAAAATTTAACAAAATAGAAAAATATTGATGCAAAATTGAATGGAAAAAAATTTCAATGTTGTTATTAACGAAAACACTGATTAACATTTATTGTCAATTTTTTTATTTAATTTTATTTAATTGTATTAATTATCACAAAAAATTATAAGAAATTTAAATTAATATGATATAGAACTTCTATCATTATTAATAGTAGATTCTTTTGATCTGTATAGGATTAAACTTTTTACTTATTCCGATTCATTTATTAAAGAACATAGAATTAATTGAAATAAAGCGACTTATATACTTTGATCATAAATTATATGCTATATGCTAAATTATATATTAAATTATATACTTATATATTATGATAAAAAATTGTTGATACTTTAAATTATTATAATTTCGTAAAAAAAAAAAAAAATCGTAAACAAATCTATTTAAATTCATTTTAGTGCATGAAAGTTTTATTTTTACAAATCCTAAGTTTTTTTTTCAAATTTTTACATCATGTAATAAATAAAAGAATAAAAATAATTTTCAAAACTTTAAAAAATCAATTGTAAAAACACTAAAAATTTTTTTCGCAATTGAATCCATGATAAATTCGAAGATTGAAATTATTTTTTCTTTATAATTGTTTTCTAAAATTTATTTACGTTTTTTTCGCTTAGTTATATAAATTTTGAATCTTAGATTAGATCAATAAAATGGATAGATTAATCAAAAAACATTAAATTTATACATTATATAACAATATTTAGATTGAAAATATTCTAATTTAATATTCGATATAAAAATAAAATGAACTTCATATTTTTTTAATTAATACTTAAAATTTTTTTATGAGAATCATTAAAAGATTAAATATATTCGTATATTCTATACAAAATATTTAAAATGTTAAAGATTGTCAAATTCCAAATATCTACAATTACTTGAATAAAGAAGTTAAAAAATGATCTATGACGTATTAAAAATGGAAAATAGTGATTCATTTGGACCTATTTTATAATTCAAGTGAAAAAGAAAGATATTTTAAAGATTAATTAATTTTTTATCTAAATGCAATGCTTTTTTATAGAATGAAAAAAATCAACTGATATATAAAAAACAATTTCACTATACAGCTCTATTTAAAAAAAACATATTTTAAATTTTTTTGAGAAAAGAATTACCAGCATACTATGCAGGATTAAAAATCATTTTTTTTTCTCATAAAATTTTTCTCTATCTTCTCAATTTTAATATATGGTCTATTTGTTAGATCATATATAATAGTATTGTTTCTTCAAATGTTTAAAAATATGAAATTTTTAAAAACCTAATAGTTTGAAGTCACTCTAAATGAAATATTATATAAATGAATAAAATTATACACATTTAAAAAGGCGCATTGTGATCAACGCGATCGATTGTTTTATTTTGATGTTTTTATATAATTTAATAATAGTTTATTTAATAATAATTTCCTTTTTTTTCTAATATTAGAAAAGTAAAAAAATTCTTACGTATAAAATTTGAAAAATACATGTATAGGATATTATAAAATTAAATATTTAATATGGTCATCGATCGTTAATTTGTTTCCTAATCATTAATTTATATTTAAAATAAAATTAACAAAAGTAATAATTTTTTTTAATAACTAATTAATTAATATGAAAATAATGTTATGCAAATCTTTGATAAAATCGAATATAGTCCGAAAAACTTTATATATTATTATAAATTTTATTATAGAAAATCTTTCTGGACATCTGTGCGTGCCGCAATAACAAACTAGGACAAAAATATAGAAATGCATGAATAGTAGCCTTAGCCGAAGTCCATTATTTGTTTCAGAAAAACAATCTGTTTTTATGAATATAGATCCGTACATAGGTACATGAATCAAATGTTTTGAAATAAATAAATATAGGTATATGCCTTTGTTGTTCATATTCATCCGAATTTGAATGAATCGTATTTTATGTTATCAACTTACGATTTAATCAGGTGACATATTATGAATATCATAATTCATTCGGACAACTGAATATTCGCGTCCCCAACAATATTATTATAATGGTTTGGTGGATGTAAGCTAATAGCTAGGTGTTTGTAGAATGCAAAGATACGATAAGACGATACGTTTTTTGTGTTGCATCTTATTTCTTATTGCTTTGTCTATTATTATATCGAGGACGAGAATATAGCTATTATTAATTCGTTGTTTATTGTTATTACACTGTTCGATATACAAAAATATGTGTTTTTCTTGCTGTAAGTTCTGCAAAAACCACATTCCTTGTTCCGGTATTCAATGCTTAATTTGCTTAAAACAAACAATGCAAACAAAACATGCGCCTAATATTTGTGCAACTCATGCACTTGAAGTTAATTTCTTAAAATCAGAATATTGCGAAAAACTGTGCGAGTTATTGCACAAGACGCAGAAAATTTATGGGATTGTAAACGTGACTATCTGGATTCGAGTTGTACTTGTGTTTATGAATTTAGAGGAGTTGTGGAATTGATTTTTCTACAATTCCATCCTAAATATTTCTAAATGTAAAAAAATTTTTTAAAAATTTAATTTTTAGAAATTAAATATTGCAATTTAAGTATTGTAATTTAATGTCTCTAGTAATCGTTGATGAATTCGTTCCATTTTCTTTTTATTAATGTATCTAATAAATAAATAATGTGCTAATAATTAACAAGTTTTCTCAAGACTTGAAGTAGATTATTCTTGTTTTCTAATAACAAATGTCCAATTAAAGTGTCTTAATCAATATATAATTATCAAAAAAAAAAAAAATAAAAAAATGCCACATGTTTTAATATAAGATACGAAAAATGATTACAATATTTTTATCAATTGTGAAATATGAATATAAATTTTGAAGAAATTTTAGATCTCGAAATTTTTCAAAAACAATTACAATTATTCAATTTATTATACAAATTAAATATATAAATTATCTAAAAAGATAGACATATTATTAATTTCTATTAATTTGTTATAATAATATATACAATACAAATTTTTAATGAAATAAATATAAATATATAAATTAGACAATTTGGTTTCGATTAATTGTTTGGTGAAAAAAAATATGGAAAGTATTTCCTCATGGAAAAGATCCATCAAGATTTTTATTATTTAAAATTTTTTTGTAATTTGCTTTCATGACTGTTTTTGCTCTATATATATTGAATAAAAAGAATTTTATGAAATATAATTTTCTTTTGTACTTAATATAAAATTTGTATTAATATATATTAATATTAGATTAAGTTTTCTGAAATTTAAAAAAAAAAAATATTTCAAGCCCGTTTGATTTGAGAAATTTTTTTCTCAAGTACACATCATAAAAATATATCATATAACAGGAAAGACATAGTAAATCTCATTTTATCATTTATTCTAATAAAATCAAACTTTTTGTATCATATATTTCATTATGTATTTAAACATGTAATGTCACAATATAATAAGCTTTGTTAAATCTTGTAAACTTGTAATAAGTGATAAATTATTGATACTTCTTTTTTGTTATTCTTTTGTAATTTTTACGTCCATGTTTAGATAAAACATAATAATATTCACGATTTCATGAATATTACTGTATTTTATAAAAATTTTCATAGAGAAATGTTGAGAATATTTAAGTTATATACTATGACTCGATACTTTGATATATTTTAAATTTAACGATAAAATTTAACAATTATGATTATATTATTGAAAATTATACACAAATTATAGAATTATCGAATTAAGAAATGATATTTCTATTAACAAATTACTTACTAATATTCGGAAAATAAGAAAATAAAAATATGTTCAAAATTAATATAAAATCGTTGTATATTGAAGTATAGATTCCATTTATACAATCATATTGAAATTTTATATTATTTTTTTCATCAAGTATCATAGTTTTAGATAGTAGAAAGTACAATAAAAACAAATTGAAAGTAAAAAAAAATCACTTTAATGTATCTTATGTCAAAAGAAAAAATATGGGAAAAAAATATATTACAAGCAATAAAATGAACAATATATTTAGTACATATACATTTATTTGCACAATAATATTATATAATTAACAATTACAAAATTAAAAAATGAATTTAATTTATATTATGCTTCTATTACATACTTTGAATTAATATAATTTCAGTTTTAATAAAATTACCGTATTTAATCATTAGATAAATATCTAATTCTGATTAATATTTGCATACATGACTCATTATAAATCATGAATTAATATTTAAATAAATTATCATATTTTTTGGTATTATTTGATATATACTTGAATTGATGAATTGAATAGGATTACGCTCCAAATACAACACTTTTATAGGCAAGTTAGAAATCACCATTTCCAACGAAATGAATTTATTTCCTGATAAGTTTAGATATTGAAGATTCTTCAGAGATCTGTGCCAATTTGTTGGTAAGAAATTTAGTTGATTATCACTGAGATATAACTCTTCTAATAATTTTTGAGCCTGAAACGCGTCTACATCGATGGTTGAAATTTTGTTCTCATTTAAATATAATTTTCTTAAATTCTGCATATTAACAAAGGAGCTATTTATTAGATATTCTATTTTGTTGGAATTTAATGAAAGTGTAGTTATATTTAAGGGTATTCCAATTGGAACACTATTGAATGAATTATTATCCAATAAAAGAATTTCTAAAAACTTCAAAGATTTTAATATATCTAAATTAGAATTATATAATCTATTATTACGAAGATTTAAATATCGAAGATTGGTTATTTGTTCAAATGTATCATCATGCAAATAATTGATTTGATTGTTTGCCAACGATAAATTTTCTAATTTCTTTAATCCATTTAATATAATATCGTTACTGAAAATATCCCCACTGATTTGCTGGATATTATTATTATCCAAGATTAATGATGATAAATTATTCAATCCTTCGAATGAGAATTTAGAAATTTTATTATGGCTGAGGTCGAGATATGTTAATTTGTAAAGCGAAAGATCCTTTATGAAATTATTTCGAATCATATTTCCTGCGAAAAACAAGTGTGTTAACTTTGGGAAAGGATTCTCTAATTTACTTTCCAATCTATTGATATTTGCATATTCTAAATCCAATAATTGAAGTTCAGGAAATATGTTTGTTATTCTTGTTTGTTCGTTCGTATACCAATAGTATTGCCGACTTTGATAACCCAAACGTAGTATTTCCAGATTTGAATTATTACCAAAAGAAAATAAATCAGAAGGAATATTATTTACTCGAAGATCAAGATATTTCAAATTTGGCATGTTATCGAATGTTTCTTTTTCAATTATAAGATCATTAACTTCTATATTAATACATTTTATGGAGAGAGAAACAATAGAATATTATTAAGTACTAAACTTGGAAATTTTAATATTAAAGTTTCATTCGCGCAGATATCTGTATTTATATTGTATTTTATATCTTGAATAATGTTTCCAAATGCAATTGATAATGAAAAAATAAATATTACCAAGATCGTTGATAGCTTCATAATTTGAAAATGCCTGAAATAATAAAAAATAAAATATAAATCTTTAATTATTTTTTTTATCTACACAAACGATTTATTTAAATATTTTTGTTAATCAATAAATATGTAGATATAAAAAATGTGAAGAGAAATAAAAAAAACAGTATATATATAAATAATAAAATGAATATATATAGTCATAAATTAATTTAACTAATGTTTAAATATGTGTCTTATATAATAATCCATCCAAAATATTTGGACAAATTTGCATATTTATATTAACATTATAATTATAATATTTTATTTTATTTATTATAATATTAAAATAAGCAATGTTTATCATATTTTAAAGCAGTGTATCTGAATTCTTTCTATAAGAAAGAAAAGATGATAATATGGAAATAATATTAAAAAAAAGAATATTTTGTTTTTTGTCATTTTTTGAAAATTAATGCGTTAAATGATTAAAACGTTTCTTTTTTACAATTTTTTTCTGTGAACTTATTATAATTAAAATTATATATCTGAGAACTTCAAATAAAAAACAGAGTTTTAAAAAATTTGACACAGTAATTAATAATTTTAATTATGCGAATATTTTTAATTTAAGAAATAAATACTATAGCTAAAAGCTATTTAACTACAGTTCCTCTTTAATAATTTCATTTTATTATTAAAATTGAAATGAAGAAAAAAATATATTATATTTTATAAATTATATATAATATAAAAATATAATATATTTTTGTCATCATTGATGAAGAGACAGTTTTTTGATAATTCATTCATTATAAATATTAGTTGCCATTGCGATTTATATCAAGAGAAAATAAATAATAATTGCATGTATACATTATTATACATATATATAAAAGAAATTCTAAATAATAATATTTTTTTTTAAATGGCAAAAGATTATTATTTTTTCTTTCTTCTTATTTTCCTAATTAAAATTGAAATAAAATGCTAAATTGCGTAATTATTAATAATTTTATTTTTATTTAAAAAATATATTGATAAATTTTTATATAAAATTCTGATTTTCTTGAATAGAAATTTGTATTTATTTAAAAATATATTAATTATAATATTTAATAAATTTAAAGTGTTATTATTATTTTTATTATTATTAATATATATATTTACCTTTATATTGTTATTTATAATTTTATAATTATAAAATTTTTTATAATATTTTATAATTATTTTATAATTATTTATAATTATGATTATAAATTAAATCACAAATATAATAACCATTTTTATATAGAACATAAGCATATAGAACATATAGTAGAGCATATAGAACATAAAATAATAATCAAATAATTAAATATTTCAAAATATATCTAAATATATGAAATAAAAACCAAGTTATATATGTATATATATATATAATATAATAAGATTTTTCATTAATAAGCTAATGTTATAAATTTATTTGTACTCATAAATATTTGTATTAATAGTCATAAATTTTCAGAAACTTTTTATTATAATAAATAAATGTACTATTAAATTATTTTAAAAATGTCACAATTATTTATAATTGAAGAAATAAAAAACCAATATATAAAGAATTAAGAAAAAATTCTTAATTTTACAAAAAAGCTACTATTATAAGAAACTAAATACACTTGAAATTCATTCATTTCTAATCTCATATCATTTTTTTTTTGTTACAAACATATTTTTATAAAAACTTTAATATTGATTTTATTAGAGGTTATTTATAAAGCTTATACGTATATAATACATATATTTATATTATATGGTTATGTATAGATATTTTTTTTATGCATTAAATTTTATTATCTTATATTCATTATTATAAAGTATAAAAATAGAAATAGATATCAATTTTGGAAAGTTAGAATATTGTTATTTTGCAATCATTTTGCATAATATAAATTTTTAATATAATTCATGCATAATTTAAAAATTTAAATGAAGTTATTAATGTCTTCAATTTTGACAACTTTAAAATATATTATAAAAAGCATTATTTTAAACAATTTTTTCTTTTGCACAAAGTCTACACGTAAATGCCAATTGATTTTACTTATCAATTATTTTTATATATAATTATGTGAACAATATATATAACTAATATCCATAATATATGAAATTACTATCATGAAACTTATTATTTATCCATAATGGACTTAGGTATTAGACAAATCTTTCAAAATTATTGAAATTATAATGACTAAAGTTAAAATAATAGATATTAAGTGCAAAATTAATATTGTTGTTATTGTTATTGTAACTGTTGTTGTTATTGTAACTTCGATTATATATATATTATATAATATATTAAAATTCTACTCTTTTGAATCCATGAAATACCTTGTTATAGATTAGAATTTCACCATGAAATACATTTTTGAAAAGTTCATTAGGTTTATATATTGGATGTCAATTGTTCTATTATACAACCAAATTGATAAGTGAAAATTGTATATTGATGCATTATGAACGTATGCATATAAGTAGAATTCAACATAATAATTTTAATCAACAAAAATTTTTTCATAATACTTTATATTTTTTCAAAATTATCGTCTATTATGTGAAAAAAAAAAAGTTGTTCAAAGTGATACTAGAATATTTAAAGATTATTAAAATTGATATATCGAGAATTTTATTTAAAAATTCTTCATCGTATCATGTATAAGAAAGATCAAAATTTAGTCTTATTCATTTTTTTTTAAAATCTATTATTTACAAGAAATTTTTGAAACGAATTAATTTGTCATACGATATTTCATCACATAGCGAAAATTATAATTTTGTTTACATATTTCTATTTTTCCTATAAAGTCTTTCACGTCCCGTATATCTAATATTTTCCATTTTATTTAATTTCGAAAGTTATTTGATGCTAAAAATTTTTTTACATTCATAAAAAATAATAAAAAAAATTATATTTCTAAAACCAGTAAATAATATATTATACAAAACTTTCTTAAATATATTCTACAAAAGAAAAAACAATTTTGAATTGATATATTGCTTTGAATTTCTTTTTAATAAAAAAAAACATTTATTTAATAATTAATCGATTTTATCTCATTATATTATTTCTTCTATCGATTATTCATTGAAATATGTAAATGAAATTGAAGAAAAATTATATAATATTAATATATTCGTTCAATCATTCTTAGAAAATGATTTATTCTATTATATAATTATTAAAATAAACATAAAATAAAGTCGATATATTGTTTATTTATTAAGTTATAAATAATGAAACGAAAGAATATAATGATGTGACAAAAATAAAATTTATTTTATTATTGTAATTTATTTTATTTATGTTTCATTTCATTTAACAATGTAAATTGCTTATATCTTAATAACTCTTAAACAATATTTTTGTATAATAACTTTTACATCTAGACGTCTAGACATCTAGAATCGATCTAAAAGATATTTCACGAATATGTTATGTAATTTTTATAAAATTCTCTAGAATAATATACGAAAAGAATCTTATTAAATCATATATTATGTATAATATTAATAATATTTTAACAGTCATAATTTTTATTTAAAAATTTTCATTTTTTGTGAAAATTCTATTTCTATCGCAACTTTTATCATTCATTTTATTACTTTTATATCGATAATAGCTGATTCAATAAAATTATATTATGTAATAGCGACTGTCAAAATATTTGAGTATTCACAAATATAAAAATTTAAAACTGTTTAATAGTTATATAATAGTTAATAGTAAATAAATTAAAAAAATAAATAAAAATAAATAAATAAAAAAAAAATAATTAAAATAGTAAATAATAAGTTATGCTTCATTTACGTATATCGAAATAAGAATATCCTTTTATATTGTTTTTGTTTGCGACTAATAAAACTTTTTATATGTATAATATTTCTTGCAGTGCGCAAATATCAATAGATAATGTCAATTAGATGATGTATCAGATAGTATCAGATGATGTATTGTTACTATTCCAAAAATATTCCAAAATAAAAAAATAAAGAGAGATTGAAAATGTAAAATTAAAGAAATATATACTAAAAAAAAAAACAAAATTATAAATTAAATTATTCGTTTAAATAAAAAATTATATATTATATTTTACTTACCGAATTTAGCGAAAAAACGAATAATATAACTAATTTATTCCTGTTGATGTAATGTTTTATAAAATATATTACAGATGAATATCTTCTTCTTCTAAAGTTAAATAAGACTACTTTCTGTGTTGGATTTCTGCCACAATTTCTGCTTTCATAAGGAAGATATGGACATAGGGAGGAGCAAATTTATCATTTGTCCCCCTTCTCCAAACTGATGAAATATTTGATATTTGACATAACGGAAATTTGTACTATCAAATATGGAATAATTTCTTAGGAAGAAATAAATCGAAAATGTAAAATAAAATTTTTTTGTATGAGATTTCGTTTTTTTAAAAATCAAGTTTCAAATACGTATATATAATATTGCTTGTCCATTAGTATTTGCATAAAAATTAATAATATTATTATATATTTCATTTAATTGCTCCTATTTGTTATAATTTTTACTATCAATTTTTTTATCTTGTAATATAAAAATATATTAATTAAGAATGGATGAATGTGATCCTTAATTTAAATCCATCAGTTGAATAGCTTCTTTCTCATTTATCTTATAATTAGTGAGTTTGTTTAATATTAAACAAAATATGTTTAATATTAAGATATTATATTAATACATTGTTTTTGAGCAAATTTTTCTTCACATATAATGAATAGTTGACTTTAATTATTGAA